ATGCATACATAGAAGAATATATATATATAAGCCTATTTATATATGAAAAGAATATATATATATATATATATAACCTTACCTATACAGAGAAATATTATTTTTATAAATGCGTATAGGGGAAGAATATATACATAAATACGCGTTTCAAAGGGACGTATATATATATATATATATGTGTGTATAAATATACTAGAATAGAATTGATAGATACAAGTATGTATATATATGCCTAGATAAAGGGAAAGAGTATATACATATATAAATGTGCATATACATGAAAAGTATATATATCTATCTATATAGATAAAAGAATAGATAAATATGAAAATGTATCTCCAGAGAAAGAATTTACAAAAATGTCTATAAATGCGTATATCTGCAGGAAAAAAGAATAGCAAGCGCGTTGAAAGAGCTAATACATTTCTAGATGAGCGTAAAACCCACAGGATAGATGAACAAAGAGAAGATAATAATGCAAACAAATTTGCAGATTTGAAGAGTGATGGGCGAGCAGACGGACGGATGAATGGGCAAATATGTCTATAAATGTATAGAAATGAGTATATTATTAGACGAATAAGGATATCAGGTAAGGATGAGCTAATAGAAGATATAAAGAATCCACTGCAAAGGTGGATGAGGTGAGTGGTAGATTGGATACTGTGAGTCTAGCAGAGGAAAAGTGGGAAAATGCCCAAAATGGGGGACATATAAAAATCAAAAACAAATTAAGCAATTGGAAAATGAGGCGGGGTTTTGTGATCTTCACTTATTTACTCTAAAACTGGTATTCTCATAATCATACCTCGTAGAATCTCTCTTGCAGCCTCTGTCTAGAGCATGGAACGACGCGACCAACCCGCATAGACAGCCGCCTCGGTCGTCGCTAGGGCCCCACCTCCAGATGCGCCGGTACCGGAGCCTGCGCTGCCTCGCTTCTCTCCGTTTCGCATCGGTACCGTCCGGGCATTCTGCCTTGTTCGTCCGTCCGTTCTGTCGTCCAACTGATGACTTGACGCTCCCCCTCCGTTTGGACTGCCGCTCAACGACAACTGCTCCTCCTCCCCTCGGTGCCGCTGCTTTTGAGAACGCAACGTGGGCGGAGACGAGACCGGTTGACGACAGGTTTTGCCGAGTTGCCGACCGCCAAAAGTCCCTGACAAAGTGCTGCCCATCGGTTGGCTGTCCACAAAGAAGCCCGCCTCTTGGCAGTGCTCATCGTCGGTGGGTGAGATGGCGAATCCGGGCAGAGACTTGCGAGATTTGTCCATCGCATAGGCCACCTGAATTATTGAGGATGGGAGATGGGTTAAAAGAGACTAGTTTCTGGATGGAAACGAGAAAGGTGACAACATTTTCGCAACAATATGGCGTCGGATCTGTGGCAATGCATGTTTGAATGCTGTTTTGCTGCCACAAAAAACATGCTTTAAGAGAAATTGAGAATTTGTGTGATTTTGGAACTCTTGACGTGTAGGCAAATAATTATCAAAATCACTGGCCATTTTTGTATGTTCTAGTCTGAACGAACGACAAGCCTTGGCACAATGTGGGCCACATTTGAAGTCAAAAAGACAATTATGCATTTTAGGCAACAAATTGTTCAGTACTACATTTTGCAATCCGATTCACAGAGTCTTTGAGTTGATTTCATTACGGGACTTTCACAATATGACTACTGATTGGGTCTAGTCTGTTTCTATGATTCAATTAGTTAGCCGACTTGCAACAGTCCTTTCGACATTGCAAAATCCAAAGTATTTTTAAGTAAAATTTTGCTTTATATTCTCGATATTTTGTTCACACTCTCTATAATTCTGTATCATTTCCTCCCATGAGCCGAAGCAAGTAACCAAATATAACACGACATGAATTAACGATTGATTATTCTCATTTTACCGGGTTCAATTAAGAATTCCTCCAAGTAACCTTACGTGAACATGTTACATGTATATTACCTCGTTTGCAGTTCATTCTGTCCATCAATCCATTCTTTAGTCGGCTATTAACACATAAAAATGTATTTATCTGTCCGCTCACATAAAGTTAG